GTTTTGTATACTCTTTGATAAAAACATAGAGAAAAATCGTCTTGAAGAGTAGTGCGCTAGTCAAGTCAAAAGTTTTCCATAGTCAAAATGGCACTTTTAATCTTAACCGAATACCTTAAACTAGACTGAATACCGTAATCCAGCTAATCTTAACTGAATGCCTTAAACTAGACTGAATACCCTAATCTAGATTGAATACCGTAATCCAGCTAATCTTAACTGAATGCCTTAAACTAGACTGAATACCGTAATCCAGCTAATCTTAACTGAATGCCTTAAACTAGACTGAATACCGTAATCCAGCTAATCTTAACTGAATGCCTTAAACTAGACTGAATACCGTAATCCAGCTAACCCTTAACTGAATGCCTTAAACTAGACTGAATACCGTAATCCAGCTAATCTTAACTGAATGCCTTAAACTAGATTGAATACCGTAATCCAGCTAATCTTAACTGAATGCCTTAAACTAGACTGAATACCGTAATCCAGCTAACCCTTAACTGAATACCCTAATCTAGATTGAATACCGTAATCCAGCTAATCTTAACCGAATACCTTAAACTAGACTGAATACCCTAATCCAGACTGAATACCGTAATCCACTTTTCTATTTTACTCTAGTCAGCCATGGCGGCCACTTTGATCAAAACTGATAAATAGTATAAAAGGACAAGTCCTAAAATGTGTAATCAGTGTAATTTACTGTGTAATCAGTTTTAGTAAGCCAACTAAATCATTCCTACTTTGTCACTGGAACTGGAGAAATGAGAGAGGCCACTATGTCAAATATTCAGTATCATGTAACGCCAAGAAACTGAGGCTCAAAAGCAGTCTCAGCATTTTGAGCATTGTCTTAGCATTGTCTTAGCATTGTCTTAGCATTGTTTTAGCATTGTTTTAGCATTGTCTTAGCATTGTTTTAGCATTGTTTTAGCATTGTCTATGTGATTTTTAAGGCATTGCATGCATTTTACTAATAAAGTTTATTGTGAATCGTTTATTGTGAATCAAATGAGCTTTATTTTCAGTTCAATTCCATTTTTGTAACTTTTTTTGCAATTCAACATCCTCATACGATTGCCAAGTTCAATTTCTTTACATTGAAAAGAATGAGGCTATAGATTTGTCCATAACAATTCTATTTACAAAGAAATTTCAAGAACGTGATGGCCAAATGACACAAGCCATATACTATTTGAGGCAGAATTCAACGCTGATTCCGAATCTGCTTTCCATTTCTGCTATTAAGCACTCTGTCAAAAGTTTTAAGCGTTCAAAGTTTTGCATGAGATTTCCAAATCACATCCCGAGTCTATAACTTTGTTATGTTTGTCTATAACTTTGTTATATTACACTTTCTTGCCTTTGTTGCCTTTATTGCCAAGTTCAATTGCTTTGCCAGATATTCATTGAGAAGCGATCAATATGTTGGGGATTTGGCTCGTTTCAGTGCTAAAGGAGATCCAGATTTACAGTATTTTTAGTGAATGTAAAGAGTACTGAATACTCTTCACCGATACCCAAGACAATAACAACTTATAATCTGTAGCATTTGGATTCAATTGCCTTGGATTCAATTGCCTTGGATTCAATTGCCTTGGATTCAATTACCCTCAGTAGGATGATTGACCAATGACAGTAGGATGATTGAATTACCCTCATTTTTCGATCAAGTTCAACTCCTTTGCCGAACACTTTGCTCAATGAGTGGAGATCAAAAGAGAAGAAGAGGCAAGGTGGTAAGAAAGTCGCGTAGCGGTGGGCGTTGCGTTCATCCGAACATAAGGAATCTCTCTTTCTCTTTCTCTTTCTCTTCCTCTTCCTCTTCCTCTTTCTCTTCCTCTTTCTCTCCCTCTTTCTCTCCCTCTCCCTCTTTCTCTTTCTCGTACTCTCTAACATTTAGATACAAAATACAAAGACGCGTCTTTTTCTTGCCAAAAATAGGAGAAAATACGGATATCGGCCACTTTTTTTGGCGAGAGAAAGGGGGATTTTGAAATGAGCGACGCCCCGCCTCTCAATTCGATCCCGCGCCTTTTTTTTCTTCTTACATCACGTTTTGGAACACACATGGAGTGAAAAATATTTACATAGGTGGGGGGATGTGTACGATAAAGGTCAGACGAGATTATGAGGCGATTTGAAGGTGAAAGTACTTTTGTTTGTTGATGGTGTTTGATGAAACGATTGAGTGATTTAAAGCTATAGTTTTAAAGCTACGAAAAAAAGCTGAAAATTATGTTTGAATACAGTATACCAGAAATCAAAGGATTTAGATGTTAAAAACGAAAACTTTCTTCGTAAATGAAATACTTGAAGACATACTTTAATGGGTCAGGATCAGAGTTCTAGTTTCTTTGTTTGTTTTTTCTTTCTTTCTTTTATGATTCTACTGTTTTACTGGGATTTACCAAAAAAAAAGTTAACTGGAATAATAAAAACAAGAAATTTTGATCAAAAACAAAAGGTTTTGATCAAAAAAAACTCAATAAAACTTAAAAACAAAAGAAAAATCCAAGTTTTAACAACGTTTATAACAAATAGAAACAAAAATAACAACAACAAAATGCCAACAAGTTACTAACAAGGAAATGATTCAAGAAAACGAGTACTTTTTAATTATTCTCTAAGCTCCACTCCATACGGTAAGCGATATTCTCCGGAAACAGCTTTGAAGGAATATTTTTAAACATTGAGGTTGAATTCTTCACCAATACCGCCCAACTTTTTATGTTATATATATTTTTAGTGGATTGAATAGGTTTTGATGAATCCGGCATCATCAAAAAGTCATCCAAACATACAAGTCAAAAACCTAGCGCCAATTTTCGTCGACCCTGTAGTTTCATCCCCCTTTCTCCGTTTTTTCAATGGCTTCGTAAACACAAGAAATCTAGCCTCAAAGTCAGCAAAATCATTAAAGTCCGTAGCTTTGCTAAAATTTAAGTTCTCTATGGTTTCATAGTTTGGCAAAATTTATGTGTACCGGTTAAATTGAATTTAAATGACGGTTAAACATACCGGTTAAATTACCTTTTATGTCTTCTATCTTTAACTTAAATTTTCACATAAACTACATATGCAAAAAGGCTTCTAGAATTTCTAACATAATACTTGGCGCCATTTGTTTCTCTAAATTCGCGACTTATCGCACTTTTATAACCTATTGCCGGCCTTTGCCGGGTATGCCACCATCGTATGTCACCTTAGCATCACCTTCCATTAAGAAACTTATCACCTTGGTTCAAAATGTCCGACGGCGTTTCACTAAAAAAGCATACACTCGTCGTTTCCCTTCTTCTCTTATTCCAAATTATGAGACTAGACTTATAGTTTTTGATTTCAAAACCCCTTTTATATCGCCGTATTTACTTTGATCTTATTTTTTGGTTATAAAACTCTTTTCCACCCTAAGTCGCATCCAGAATTTCAAAGCCTCTTGAAAATTGTGGAAATTTCTAGAAGTACACGTAGTCATCCTTATCAAATTTCGGTCAGCTCTCATCCCCATCATCTTTCCATTTATCGTTCTTTTGCGAACCATGTTAGTAGGGTTTGAATGAGCTTCGGTCTTGAACTTGGAATAAGCTCTCGTCTTGGACTTGGAATAGCTCCCGTCTGGTATCTTCTCGTCTGTAGCAAAATTGAAAGTATCTGTAAACGAATTAGATCTTATTGCCATGTCAAATCTGCCCTATATTTAATCTTTTTTGTACCTATGTCTCCTAACTGTAGCCTTACTGTACTTTTCTTGTAGTCTTACTTTTCTTTCTTTTTTGTGAAAGTATTGTAGCAATATGTTATATGCGGTTATGATTATCTGATTCGCTTCTATTCGTCCCCTGAATAAAGCAAATATATATATATATGTTGTGTCCGATTTAGATTTCCGTCCGATTTAGATTCAATCTAAATAGGACGTCCGATTTAGATTGAACTTATCGCGGACGTCCGATTTAGATTACAGTCTATATCGGACGTCCGATTTAGATTCAATCTAAATCTTATATAGATTGAACAATAATATAAACATGTTTAGTATATGTTCTTAAGCGTTTTCTGTAGTTTTCTGCATTTTTCAAAGGTCTTTTATTGATTATTTCATAGTTGGGTTTTCTTTTCAGAAAAAGACAATAACAGACCTTTGAAAAATGCAGAAAACTACAGAAAACGCTTAAGAACATGTATTAAGCATGTTTATATTATTGTTCAATCTATATAAGACGTCCGATTTAGATTGAGTCTAAATCGGACGTCCGATATAGACTGTAATCTAAATCGCGATAAGTTCAATCTAAATCGGACGTCCGATTTAGATTGAATCTAAATCGGACGGAAATCTAAATCGGACACAACATATATAATTAGGAAATACTAACTTGCCAAGAGAAAGAAGGAAAGACATGGAGGAAGAAGAAAGGAAAAAAAAGAAAGAAAGAAGGAAATATCTGGGTCTTTAGAACCGTGGGCTCCCACTCAAAGTAATATTTTTGATATCATATGAAAGCCAGAAGTATAAAGCCTGAGGTTGATATAATATAAAGCCTGAGGTTGATATAATATGTAAGCCACGAAAGCCAATAACAATAATATTACCAAAGGCCTTCAAAGCGGGACACTCATTCAAAATGTCTGGATGTGTACTTTGTGCTCGGCAAAGCATACCCTTTCTGGTTTACTATTAGCTTATCATCGAGGCTAGTCCACTAAAAGTGGCTCAAATTACGTACTCCCTGCTATAGTTCTAAAAAAACTTATATCCTGGTTTATTGTGGGTTTTTACTGGTGTTCAATTCAGCTGCGTCGTTTTTGGTACAATTTTCAATGCAAGAAAGGCAAAAGCTGCACTAATTGCTATTTTAGAAATGAGAAATGATTGCTAATTTCAATTTCAATTTTGTTTTAAAAAAGTTTCTTTTTTGCCTTACTAAACGCAGACAATTCAGCTCCAAAATTCTTTATTTTCACTGTACAAACAAAAACCATTTTTTTTTTCAATTTTTCTGTCCACTTTGATAATGTGCAATGAATTCGGAGACAATCGGGTGTTTTTCTCGTAAAGAAACCTCAAAAATCTCTTCATCGCTCACCAATTGAATGAGAAGATTCGACAGGATTTTTGAATAAGGAGGAGAAACAATCTCCAACACCTGGAAATTTGATTGATTGGATTGAGCAACGATTTTGAACAATTTAGTTATTGGAAACTAGTTAAAAGTCACCGTGCTCAAAGTACGAAATGCCCAGAGTACGGTAGTAGCTATAGGAGAGTACTATAGGAGACGTACTATAGGAGACGGAGAACGGTAGCTGGCGGATACCGTTTCAGCCGCTACCGTACTGGTTCTGATACCCTGAAGTACAGTAGTAGTACAATAAGAGACAGAGTCGGATATCCGATTGCTACTGTCTTCCATATTGTACCATACTTTCTTCTACAGTACCCAAGGCTACCGTACTCAGCGTACCAGGCTACAGCTGCTACCGTACTCCTTTTCCTACCGTACCCAAACTGTCATACTCCAGGCTACTTTACTACAGCTGCTATCGTACTCCAGATCTTCTCGTACTTCAACCGCTGCCATATTCTGGCTGTTGCGGTAGCTTGTTCTTAGCGCATCATTTAGAAAACACGTGTACTGCTTTCAATTTCTTTCGCAAACTCGCCTCTATCGAGAAATATCTCACAAGACTCGAGTCAATCAATGCATCTCGATACATTTTATGAATCTAAAAGCTTTGAGTTAACGGATCTTCAATAGAATTAACTTTTTCAAGCACAGGAATCGCGAATCCGATGCTGAAGAGATGAATGAAACGATCAACAAGAAGTCGTTGTCTTTCCATTATCACCTAGAAATCAAGCTTTTGGCTAACAGAAATCAAGCTTTTAGCTTTTGTCAGAAAATTTCCAAAATATACAGTACCTCAGCAGCTTCGGGTTGTTTCGAGACTTTCTCGTAGAGTTTTGTGCAAAGGGTGAAAGCGGTTGAGTGAAGATTTGGATGAAGGGAAGCTGTTTGATCGATAAGGACAAAAGGCCACACTGGAAGATCTCCAATTCTTGATTCAGATAGGAGATAGGTTTCGGCAAAGTAGAGCAATCCGGTGGCCACTACCGGTACTCGAGCCTCTCTGAAATTGCTTTGGGTAGTTAGTTACATCCAAAATGCTTGAACCTAGCCCTAGGGCAAAGCCAGATCTTCTGGCTTCTCTGGCTTCCTTTTCTCTAGATTTTTGGTTCCTTTCCTCTAGATTTTTGATTCCTTTTCTCTAGAGATTTGGTTCCAGAAGAACCAGAAGAAGTCCTTTTACTGTAAAGCCAGGTCAGAACTGAATTGGCCTGAAAAAAAAGTCTTTGAAAAAGCAATCCTACTTATTTGTATTTAATTTTCTAGAATTTTGTATTACCTCAACAAATCGGGCAGCTCGGAGAGCACCTCATCGAGATTCTCGATTAAACTCGTCGCTCGCTCGATCGCCGATCTCGTCACGTCCAATTCGACTCGAGTTTGCTGAAATCACATAGTACATTGGAAATTTGTAAATGAAATTTTAAATAAACTATCCTAAAATTATCGATTCTTCTCGGAAATCCGGGTCTTTTCATTGTGGATTTCATTCATTTTCATTGTGAAAAGCTATCATATACAAAACCCAAAGCCAATTCGATTCTCTTGGGACCTTTCTTGGGACAGTTTCAACCATGAGTATTTTAGTTAGTTTTGGTTTAGCAGGATGTAGAGGCTGAAGCAAAAATAATGCCATTATGAGGCAAAAATTGATCTCAAAAATTCAAGCATAGTGCCGCACAAAGCGGTGAAGCCACAAAGAGCTAGGTGTCGGAAGCAAAGAATGGGGAGATTTTTGAAAAGCAATCAAAAACAAGGAGGGACTAAAAAAGTACTGGAGGTGGCTGGAGGTGGCCGGAGGTGGCTGAAGGTGGCTGGAGGTGGCTGATGTTCGGGAACATCTGTACCAGAGGCGTGTGCCAGATCACGAGCGATTACGTGGCCGCACAAAGAACACCTCGCCAGTCACTTTACAGGGTGTTTTTCTTTTGTCCTGTAAATGATTCCCAAATGAGATTTAATGTTAAAAATTTGTGCCTCGGGGTTTTTAGGGTCATAGCTTCTATTGGCGGAGTTTATTTTAACCCTTTGTCCCAAGGAAAGTCGAAGAGAATTGAATTGGCTTTGGGTTTTGCACAGCCCAACGAAAAGACCCGTATTTTGTCAAAAAAAACCTTTCGATGAGAACCAAATTATCCTCAACACTCACATTTCTCCGTTTATTCTTGTAGGACTCAAAAACTGACGAGGCGTAGGCAAGTAGATAGATGTATTTCTCGCGATGCTCCATGTTTACCTGAAATTTTTAAATCCTGGAATTATCTAGATAATCTCTAAATCACTGTATACTTTTTTCAATTTTAAACAACTTACTTTTGATCCATCACAATGGAATAACGAATCAATGAGCATTTCAATGAAGAGCGGATCCCGGATCACTTCGGCTGGCGGCGGATGTGGCAAAATGTATTGCTAAAGATTTTCGTTTTAAATAAATGAAACTTTAAGAAATTCAAGAGCTATTTATTTTAATTTACATATAATTTCATTCAAATACCTGATAGATATGCGAAATATCGGCTGGATTCAACTCTTGCTTGCTCGTCATCGTCAAGAGTGCTTGGACAACGTGACTTGCTACCTAAAAATGTTTTGTTCAAACCAAGCTCAATTTGTTTTCAGACCAAGGTTTGGCTTCTAGAGTTGGTGGACAAAATACAAACGTGTCAACTGTCAAACTGGTAATGTGTCAAACTTTAACTCGGATCCAGTCTAAGCAGAGCTACTCTACATGCAATTTTATGGGAGCCAGGCCAGGCATGGCCAGGCATGGCCAGGCATGACCAGAGCCAGGTTTTGTTGTAGGCCTTATCCACAAAAATTCCATAGCAATCCCAGAAGCCTCTGGACATGTATCTGCTTTCTGATCCGGCCTTGATAGACCTTGCTTATAGGCTCATTTAGAACAACCCTGTTTATCCAAGTTATCTCACACGTGTCAAGTTTTTCCCAAAACATTCTCCACCTGATCTTCAGCTGTATGTAACATGGCGCATCGGAAAGCAGTCGTTTCTTGCTCATGTCCTAGATTTAAGATTTACAATCTGCATAGGTATAATGATAATAGTAAACTGGATGGGTAAACCTTTAAGTGTTGAGCGAAGAGTTTGAAGAATGTGGTGACAAGCGGCCGAATCGATTCCATTCACTTCACGAGATAAAACCTAGAACGATCTGTGCTAGGGAAGAGATGGTTTTTGTTGTTTTCAATATAGTGTTAAAAACGGTTTTGGGTTTACCGTAAATATTCTAATAGAAAAAACGGCTCCTCTATATTTCATTATCCCTCGAAAATTCTTTTTTTTGTGCCTTAGCTTAAACGTAGGTACGAAAAGAGTTTCTGGACAGCCTAATATGTTTTTCGCATCAAAATTAAATTCAAATCAATCAAAATCCCACCTCCAACAACGCTGCCGTGTACAGGTAGGTGTGCTCAGATTGGCAGACGATTCGAACCTAAAAACGATCAACAATTTGATTTAGTTTTCCAAAACAAATTTTTCCGGGCCAAGCTAGAGGCCAAGCTAGACAAGTCCTTGCCCAGTCTGCCTTTTCACAAGTGTCGTGGTCCGCCAAACCTGATTGCAGTACAAAAACCTAGCAAAAGACCAGGCCTGGCTTTTGAACTAATCTGGTTTGTCGGTTAAAGTATCAGGGTCCGCCAAAGTCAGGCCTAGACCTAACCGGCTGGTTTGAACAATCACCCTGGTATAAAAGTAAAGCAAACTCATAAATTTTACTTCACTCACCAACTCTGCCAATTGTGTCTCATATTGTGCGGTGTGTTCTCCATTTCGGTACTCGCTCAGTAAGGAATCGATTGATGTGAGAAAGATTCGAGTGAAAATTTCCAACTAAAGTGCGATACGAATTCAAAGCTATCGGAAAATGAAATATTCTAAGCTTGGGCACACGATTAACAATTTTAAAATGACAGTATGCCTCTTTGAAATCTATAAAGCAAGGAACTTTAAAGGAACCAAATAGGAACTATAAAGGAACTATAAAGCAACTTTAAAGGAACTATAAAGGAAGTATAAAGGAACTATAAAGGAACTATAAAGCAACTTTAAAGGAACTATAAAGGAACTATAAAGCAACTTTAAAGGAACTATAAAGGAAGTATAAAGGAACTATAAAGGAACTATAAAGCAACTTTAAAGGAACTATAAATGAAGTATAAAGCAACTTTAAAGGAACTATAAAGGAACTATAAAGGAACTATAAAGGAACCAAATAGGAACTAAATAGGAACTATAAAGGAACTATAAAGGAACTATAAAGGAACTTTAAAGGAACCAAATAGGAACTATAAAGGAACTATAAAGGAACTATAAAGGAACCAAAGAAAAACCTGTTGAGTAGCGGTGTTCACATTGGCGATTTCAGTTTGGTAGCCGGCATCGGAAATCAGTTTCACTGCAAAATTCAGCATCAAGCATTGTGGATGACTTTCGATTAGAGTGTAGATCATTTCACGCCAAATTCTGAAAATTTTGAGATCTTTGAGACAAGATCAAAACCTCGACCTTAACAAAAAATATTCTAGACTCTCACTTGCAAGAGATGAGCTCCGGCAACCATTCGATTCCACCGCCCAATTCTCCGAAAATCGAATCCGCACAATCCGGTTGGAATTCTTTTTTTAACATCGTGGCCAGGGTGTCTAAACTTTTTAAGATTTCAAAATTATGCAGAATTTCAACCTTCAACGTATGTGGAAATCGTGTTAAATGTGGGACTTTTTTGAATTTCCTTCTTCGGACTGGCCTCTTTCTCTTTCTTGGTCACATTCTTCTTTCTCTAAATTTACTACATTGGTATACTTTGTTGTTTTGCAAGAATACCCTTTTTAGCGTACTGGATTCTTCATTTTTCTTGTAGATCCTTCATTTTGGTGTTACGGGAAAAATGCAGAATCGAGTGGACTAGAAAGGGCGTGTTTACACTTTATCTACACCACGACTGACAAATTCACATGCATATTTTGTCTCTTAAGGTGTACTTTGTGCTCAATCTTGTAAACACAGAGACAGCAGTTAAAAAAAGTAAATTAACTTTATCCTCTTTGTTTCCTGCAAAAACAAACGCGATCACACCAGAAAAACGCAAAAAGAATAAAATGAAATGAAAAAATATGAAAAAAAATGAAATTTTGCATTGTCTCAGAAGGGGGTACGGTAGTTTTACCATGCTTTAAAGCGCCAACCCAGGATTTCTTGGAAAAAGGTCGTAAGTGATTCATACGAAGAAAATGAAGTATTCCGTGCACCAGAAACAGTGTGTTTCCATTTTCTTTCGCTCAAAAGCATTCTGGATAACTTTTTGCTCACCTTTTTGCTAGTTGTCGGTGTTTCTTTCTCCTCTTCCGTCGCTTTTTCTTCATTCGATGTGTTTTCCTCTTTCGTCTCTGTTGGATCCAAACCGATAGCGTTAAACCAATCAAATATTAGATTGCATAACTAAAATTGATAAAGTGATAATGATAAAACGATAAAGTTAAAGCATCTTTTTGATAAAAGCATTAATTTAAAGCCTATTTTTGGTACTTGTGGAGTATCCGGGGGTCTTTCAATATCCGCGGTGGTACAATTTTAAGATCCGGTGCACATCGGCGCGAAAATGCGTTTTCTATCCGATTTTTCTGGGAGTACCTTTTTTAGATGCGGAAAATTGTGCTGATTCCGAATCTGAAGGAATTTTTCAAATCCCTCTGACAGAAATTTTTAAAATTGAGTTTTAGCGGTTTTTTGTAGTGTATTTTGCAAAATTTCTTTAAAGATGTTATAACTTTTTGTAGAGTTGAGCAAATTTTATGATTTTTGCATTAAAATGTTCGTAAGAGTCTCTAGAATAAAACTTATCCCCTCGTTTTTGGTTCTAGGCGCTCGTTGTCGAGTTACGAGCTCCAAACTGCAGGGTACCACAAAATGACCAAAAAACCGCTAAAACTCAATTTTAAAAATTTCTGTCAGAGGGATTTGAAAAATTCCTTCAGATTCGGAATCAGCACAATTTTCCGCATCTAAAAAAGGTACTCCCAGAAAAATCAGATAGAAAACGCATTTTTGCCTTATTTCGCGCCGATGGTGGGGTAAACTTTCAAAAACCAACCAAATCCACAAAAATGTTTTTTTTTGTTAATATGGCTTTGCCGTTGTTTGCGTGTGGTAACTAAACTTTATAACTATACCAGCAACGAATAAACAAGATGCACGAGTAATGCAAGAACATAAACATAAACATAAACATAATAATAACCAAAGATAATAATGAAATAAATTTGCGAAGTACAACAGTGACTATTTGTAACAGTGACAATGAATACTACTTGTAAAAATCTATCGAATTTACTTCTAGGCCAGGAGACCAAAAACGAGCAATATCCTTGAGAATTTGCTCAAATGCGTCCGCGCCTTTGGGCAAACTAAGGCGCCAGAGTCATCGTGTCATCGCCAGAGTCAAGTGGGTTGGGCATCTGCCGGGCCCACATCAACACATAAAACTACTCCAAAAAATGGTTTTGAAGAAAAAAAAGTGACCCGCCAACTAGGATAGTATCAACAATAACAAATCAAATCTAATAATGACAAAAAAATTTTGTAGAAGTTACGTTTTTGATCGAGTATCACCTCGAATCACGTAATCAAGTAATCGCTGCGAATAAATTGAATATCTTTACATTTGAAGGGAATTTGAATACATTTGAAGGGAACCAAATCACTTAAGCGGCTGAATATCTTTAAAAGGGGTCGTAGATAACGTATATGTCGTAGCCGATTATGAATTTCAGCCGATTATGGATGAGTGGGTCTAGGAGCGTCCAACCATCAAGTATTTGGTATCATTCAACGCAGAATCATTAATAATTATGTTAAATTTTTTAAATTAGAAAGATTGGATAAAAAGAAAAAAAATTATCGGGCTTCAAAGTTTTTTCTTGAACAAACAGTTTTTTTGCTCTAATTTTTTTTCTTTTTATCCAATCTTTCTAATTTAAAAAATTTAACATAATTATTAATGATTCTGCGTTGAATGATACTAAATACTTGATGGCTGGACGCTCCTAGACCCACTCATTCATAATTGGCTACGGGGGTCCCGCCGCTTTTGAATGAAACGTTGTAGCGGCGGCAATTTTTAACCTAAACTCACAAATTTGGTAACAATAGACGCAGAATTTGATTCGCTACAAGATGATATAATATTGTCCTCATACATTAAAGGGTTGCTCTACTGGAAAGATTTGCCAAAAAATTTCATTCATAATCGGCTACGACATATATAAAGTTTTACCCCACCGGATCTTAAAATTTTACCACCCCGGATATTGAAAGACCCCCGGATACTCCACAAGTACCCTATTTTTAAACTTTTAGCTGATTTTTTATCACTTACATGTGATGATCCTTTGTAATTCTGACTGAGACTTTCGGCGGCGCTTTTGATGAAGAAAAGTTTCTTGTTCAAACAACTTTCGACCACTTCTTCCGCTTGAGATTCCAAGATAAAATCGTTGCCTGAAAATTTATAAACTTCTACAAATTTAAAATAAAAAAACCTTGAATTCAGAGAAAAATTGCAATTCAGAATGGTCTGAAAATTTTGCTAACAGGAAAATTCTGCTAAATTCACTTTGTGCTTCTAAAATCAAGAAACACACCCTTTCTGGTGCACTCTTTTCTTCGTTTTCTTGCAAAACAATTGGTATATTGTACAAAAAGCGAAGAATTCCGTACGCCAGAAAGCCTGTGTTTATATTAGTAAGCAAAAAGTAACAGCAACTTTAGAAATACCGCCACTCACATTTCATCAATCGCATCAGTTCATCAGTCTCGTATTCTCCGCTCGTTTCCGGGCGATCCATTGCAGAAATTTTACAGATAAATTACAGATAATTTAATTACTGGCATCTAATAAGTTATCAAATGTATTGTGAGCTTCTTTTTCAAATGCATTATTTGTAGTTTGAAAATTGTGAGAGACACAGAGAAAAAGGGAACGAGTACGGTCAATTATACAGCAAAGCGAAGCTCCAAAAAGCTCCAAAAAAGCTTAGAAAGCTCCAAAAAGCTCCAAAAACTCCCAAAAAGTATCCAAAAAAAGCTCAAAAAGCTCCAAAAAAGCCTGGAAAGCTCCAAAAAGCTTAGAAAGCTCCGAAAAGCTCCAAAAAATCTTAGAAAGATCCAAAAAGCTCCAAAAAAGCTTAGAAAGATCCAAAAAAGCTCCAAAAAAGCTTAGAAAGCTCCAAAAAAGTTTCAAAAAGTATCCAAAAAAGCTCAAAAAGCCTAGAAAACTCCAAAAAGCTCCATAGAGCTCCAGAAAAGCTTAAAAAGCTCCAAAAAGCTCCAAAAAACTCCAAAGGCTCTAGCTAAGAAAAAGTCTCAAAAGTCACAAAAACATTTAACAAGATTGGAAAAGACCCAGGATTGCTAAAAATAGAATTTGATTGGACTAGAAAAATAGAGAATAGAATCCTAAGAAAATCGAGAGACAATCAGATCAGATCACAGCATTCTTCCAGCTTAGCTGGGCATGTCATGTGATTATTATTCATGCGATGTTGAACGAAATTCTGCACTCCGGCCGCTTCCATCACCCGATTGTAGAAATTTAGCTGAAAGCAAGAAATGTGATCCATGTGTGGCTTGTGGTCTCTGGCTAAGATCAATCTGTAGCTTCTGGTCTCTGGCTAAGATCAATGGGCAACTTCTAGTCGCTGGCTAACATCAATGTGTAGCTTCTGGCCTCTGGCTAGGATCAATGTGTAGCTGCAGCAAACTGCTGCAATTTCATCGATATCTAGAGCATAAATTAGGCTTTTCAGAAAGTCTTTCAGAAAGGCTTCGTTCCTTTTCGTACTTTCGTTCAATTCGTGCATTTGTTGGTTTTAAACGGAAGTACGAAAAGAAACGAAAAGACCTTCTGAAAAGCCTAATATAAGCTAGATATCGTATTTATTCTATTTTCTATATTTAGAAGCGCAGCCTCCAATAAAAGCAATAACTAAGACAAGACTGGCGATTGGAGTATTGGAGTACTGAGGTACAAGGTACCGTAAAAGAGGCACAACCTCTAATAGACTATTCAGAACTAGATATTCAGCTTAGTAAACCGAATACCCTGAATTTTGAGCCTTTAAGAATATATAAGGCATTTCCTTGAGAAAAATTGCATTCTTTATCATTTGTTTTGGGGTAGGCTAGTTTCCTCCATTTTTTTTTGCGCAACTGGGTCGTGGCGCAACTCGCCATAACTTTTTTCTAAGAACCATAAAGATCGTCTGTGGACCAAGCCTTTTTTTGACATTTTTGACTTCGAAGCAGTTTATCCAGATGGTTGGAAAGATTTAAGAGAGTCTCCTACACCATTTATTTTTGATGAAGAACGATTTGGATTTCTCTTTACCAATCTTTATGGTTTTGGTTTCATTTTGTAGACCTCAATAAGTGCAACAAAATGAAACCAAAACCATAAAGATTGGTCCATTTAGAAGAGAGTTATGGCGAGTTGCGCAAACGACCCAGTTGCGCAAATAACCCTGTTGCGCAAAAAAAGTTTCGGAAACTAGACTACCCCCAAATCGTAACTCAAATCAAATCGTAACTCAAAACAAATCGTAATTCAAATAAAATCGTTCAAAACACATCGTAACTCAAAACAAATTGTTCAAATCAAATCGTAGCTCAAGACAAATCGATCAAATCAAATCGTAACTCCAATCAAATCGTGGGGTAGTTTTCGCAACTCGCCATAACTTTCTTCTAAATGGATCAATCTTTATGGTTTTGGTTTCATTTTGTTGCACTTATTGAGATCTACAAAATGAAACCAAAATCCTAAAGATTGGTAAAGAGAAATCCAAATCGTTCTTCATCAAAAATAAATGGTGTAGGAGACTCTCTTAACTCTTTCCAACCATCTGGATAAACTGCTTCGAAGTCGAAAATGTCAAAAAAAGGCTTGGTCCGCAGACGATCTTTATGGTTCTTAGAAAAAAGTTATAACGAGTTGCGCAAAGAACCCAGTGGAGAACAACCTCCAAAAAGTGGAGGAAACTAGCCTACCCCTTTGTTTTGCATTAGTAGTGGCAATTTTGATTAGTTTTTTTTGTAATTAGATAGTCAGGTTATTTGGATCGTGAGCTAGTCAGCTTATTTTGGGTTATGAATTATATCATTATATCGTTATATAATTATATCGAATGCTTAGAATACCCTCGTTAACAGTATAAAAAGCTAATAGTCCTGCTTTTTTGACTGTTTTTTGCAGGCACTTTTTCCAGAAATGGAATTTCCAAAAAAATTCGAAACCTTTGCATTCCATTCTCGACAGTTTTATGTATTCAGCGGCGGAAATAAAGCGAAATTCGACCGGATCAACGGTTTTCGGAAAAGCCACAAAATTCGCTAAATTGTTGAATAATGTTCCGGAACAATTCGCTGATCTTATCAATTTTCATTGGCATTTTGATTTTTATCTATTATCGAATCTATTGGAGAGCTCATGAGAGGAAATATTCAAAAACGGGATTTGAGGAAAGAGATCCGGTGAGTACAAGGTAAAACTCTCAACAATCAGTTCGTTGTTAGAGTGTTTTCTTTTTTCTAAAAGGCACTTATTTCAGAAAACTATCGTAATCAAACTTTGGTTACGGTAGTTTCCGTTCAAGTACTGGTGAAAGTTACTAACTAATTATAAGAGTTAAACCAGTCCAATCAACGATATAAGGCCAACCAGCCTTGGAAGTAGCTTTCTAAAACCTATTGGCATTCAGTTAAGAAGCATACCTTTTACAGTACCCTAAAGCTACCAATCCCTCTTCATAACTCACCAACTCTTCCTCATTGTTTGCTCCTTTTTGCCCTTAGTTGTCAAATGAATTGATCGTGTTATCTTTGGTTAACGATGGGTAGTTTTTAGGTACGATAGTTTTCATTCAAGAAACGCCGAAAGTTTACGTCCAACTCAATCAAAGATAATTTTTCCAGAAAATCTATAAATCTATAAATCGTTTAGAGAAAATGACCTCTATAATGACCTCTATAAAAGCAAAAGAACTTACACTGCTGACTCGAACCCGAGAGGGCTTGTCTTGTATTCTAGCCGCCTATCACTCGGCCACCACCGCTTCCCCAACCTTCTGAAAAATCTGCTCGTAAACTCGAGGGAGGGTTTTTTAAATTCCATACAAAACTTTGAACGCTTCTAACTTTTGACAGAGTGCTTCATAGCATAAATGGAAAGCAGATTCGGCATCAGCGTTGAATTCTCATTTGACCACCACCGGTTGGCCGGTTGACGATCTTTGGTTAATGATGGGCTTGGTTAGTGCAAGAGTGTGCCCTTTAGTCTCTCACTTACCAGGGAACCCCATGAAGTTACATTTTCAGAAATGATCTGATTCCGAGGTGCAAACATCCCTAGTTAAGGGCATCCCGAAATTGCTTTCAAATCCTACTTATTAGGTTGGTAAAAAAGAAATGAGCGTCGTGTTTGTTGATTTGTATTTTATTCACAGTAAAAGATTTTTTTTAAAAGTTTATTCTATTGGAAAGAGCGTGTTCTTGTGCATCGTTTGATATATAATTTGTCTATGTTTACTTTTTTCCGACTACCATCTGCACCACTCCTTGGCCGAGAAAAAGTTCAAGAACCGCGACGAGGTCCAAATTTGGGTGTCCAACTTCTTCGAGTCGCAGCCGGTCGAATTCTTCAAGAAGGGCATCCATTCTCTGCGTGAACGTTGGCGACAAGTCATTGATGCAGATGGCTTTTGGATTAATGTATTGTTATCTTGTTTTTATAATAAAATAAACTTTTAACGAAAACGCGCATTTCTTTTTTACCAACCTAATATTATAAGCCGTTTTCGAGATATAAGCCTTCAAAGTTTTGGCCAATTTCGCCAAGCAACAAGCTAGCTTACTTAAGGCTTAACTTAAGGCCAGTCGGTGTGCCTCAGTAGCCTAGTGGATACCTGTAATAGTAGCGCCCCTTAACTGAATATCTTAATGGCTAGGAGAAATCTCAAGATATTCAGCCTTTTGCTTTTTAGCTTGCAACTTTTCCAAGATAATTGCAACATTTTCAACTCAATTCTTCGCCTTTTTATTGCTTTTCTAGCTTTTCTTCTTTCTAGCATTTCTTATTCGTTTTCTTTTTCTTATTCGATAATTTTATTTTTTTTAGGTTCGATGAGCGATCAAGAAAGCTGGGATGACGTGAGGATTGAAGCGTGAGTATGAATCGACGTGAGCACGAACTAAACGGATTCTTTGAAGAAGGACAAGAACTTTAACGTAAAATTGAACGCTGGGATGACGTGAGGATTGAAGCGTGAGGATGAGCGATCGACGTGAGCACGAACTAAACGGATTCTTTGAAGAAGGACAAGAACTTTAACGTAAAATTGAACGAAGAATTGCGCGAGGAATCGGACAAAGAAGCAAACGACGGAACGGACAAACCAAAGCAAAAGAGAAAAGCAATAGATGCGAAGATTAACCTCGATGCTGCAAAAATGGCTCGCAAAGTCTCCGCTGCCAGATTCTACAAAATTGAGGAGCTTGTGTTCAACGATACGTCAAACAAACAAATGAGCTAAACAAAATGCACAAAAAAAGAAGCGTTCAGATGGTGGCGGACGCGCTTGACCTCAAAAGAGATTGATGAAGCTTTGGCAATATGGATTCTTGAGAAGGAGCGAAAAAAAGCGAGTGAACCGTCGAATGATCTGGAACGAAGCTGCTAGTCGATTTGCTGATGCAGAGATTCTCCTTAAAAGAAGACACGGTTGGATGGAATTGTTTCTAAAGCGGTACCAATTCTCATTGAGAGCACAACATGTCAAAATCTTCCTAGCGAATTTGAAAAAGTTCTTGTCGACCATTTCCTGAACGTGAACAAGAAAATCAAAGAGAGCACTTTCACGCATCTGACAAAACGGTTGTTTGGCTTGACTCTGAACGAGTATGTTTGATTTTACTGTTATTTTGTTGTTTGTTAAAGGTGAATAAATGAAATTCCACTGTCGATCAGACTTTGTTTTTTTTAGAAAAACGCTCGAATATTGCTTTTTTGAGCAGTAATCTCTGAAATAATATTAGTTTAATGTAAAAAAAGGCTCCGACTTTTGAATAATTGAGCCAGCAGCTTCTTTTTGACTATCTAGGCTTTTTGGGTCTTAGGAAGGAAAAAAAGAAGCAATAAAAGCAAAGATTTGCTTTCAAAGCTTGTAACCATTGCTTGATTTAGATGAAGAAAGCTGGCTGGATAAATCTGGTGAAAGATTTCGATGAAATCAATGAAGAAGAGGCACATCCACCCGTCAAGTTTTGAACTAAAACATTTCTTTTTTTTACGATTCTTTTAGACCAACTCAAAATCTGAATCGACCCGACTATCTGCTGGATGCACAAGAGTGCATGAAAGAAATGTTCTTCTCAAGAACGGATCGAGATGTGAGTGTTATTTGATTCAACCTTGTGCTTAAATCACACTCTTTTTGAAACTTCATCATTTTTCGCTAAAAAGAAAGTATTGAGTACGTCAAAAGAGATATTTTTTAGAATAGAGTACATTCTAAAGAACAAATTCAACTCTAAACCGTTTAATCTAGTAATCTAGTGCTCTAGTACTCTAGTACTCTAGTACTCTAGTACTCTAGTACTCTAGTAATCTAGTATTCTAATAATCTAGTAATCTAGTATTCTAATAATCTAGTAATCTAGTAATCTAGTAATCTAGTAATCTAGTAATCTAGTAATCTAGTTTAATCTCAGCTCATCTGTAGAACAGAACAGTTCAGCTGTCGAACACTGTCCTTTGCACATTCACACAGCTGTTCTTTCAGCAATAATTTGGAAAAAAGGTACTTCCGCATCTTTTCACAAGTTTATATGCAAATTGATCTTTAACTACTTACTTTATTGAATTTTAGCATACTGACGTTTTTCCAAAGTTTTCCCAGAAGCACAACACTCAAATCCCCCACTAGATCTCATCGTCAGCTACATTTTGTTATGATTTTCAATAGATTTAAGCTAGAATTAATGAAGCTAAACCTAATAAAATCATTTCTACAATTTTCCCCCTTCTCTTTACTAAACTAGAGACATGCCGGGAGAAATTTACATTACATATTTACATATTTTGTTTTACTTGACAGGGCAAAGATACGGGAATACTGAAAAAAGCTTTAGGACAACGAAAAAGGATGTGTTTACTATAGTTTTTAGCAGAAAATCCAACATTTCACATTCTAAATTTTTTCCTTTTAGATCTGGGAAGATTTCAGTCGAATTGTGATGAATTGCACTCCGTACGATGAGATGAGGATCAAGATTTACTCGAATTCTTTTCGCTATCACTATTTTCAAAAGCCGGCTCGATATGAGGACAATGAGTTTTTAGTGAGTGTCGGAAAGTTTAGAACTAGAGAGAACGAGCAGAACTAGAGAATTCTAGTTCTGGTCGTTTCTAAACTTCTAAACTTAAACATATGTAGATAGAAAATTGTAGATAAACATATGTAGATAGATAATAACAAGATAGTTCTAGATCATTCTAGATAATTCTGGATAATTCTAGATAATTGTAATATAATTCTAGATCATTCTAGATCATTCTAGATAATTCTAGATAATTGTAGGATAATTCTAGATAATTCTAGATAATTATAAGATAATTTTAGATTATATCAAGCATTATCTATCTAAAAAATTCTGAACACAGTGTTCATTGTAAATTTTCAGAAAAAAAGCTGCCAACTAGTGTCCATCGGCACGAATGTTGATGTCAAAGCTGAACTCACTTTTTCGGTTTTGAACACAAAACTGTGATTGATTTAGCGTCCGTTTTTAGGAAAACTATCCGCATTGCAAATTTCTTGGAGTTGATCCAAATGCCACTGAGAAGGAAACCGCCTACAAACAGGTTATTCTTTCTTTCTACGGGATTTTACAAGTACCCGGACTCACCTCCAAGAGTCTAGCTCAGTCAAAATCAAGCCAATCTCTCTGATTTTTTCAGAGGTAAATTTAGATTAGGTCTCCTGCAACAGTGCTCAATATTAAGTCAAACGGAGTAAATAGGCTCTGAAAAAATCAGAAAGATTAGTTCATGTAGGCTCTGAAAGCTAAGCGCTTCCGTTGGCACGCTAAGCCAAAATGCCAAATCTCAAACTGTGTTGCGAGGAAATGTGACTCTCAACTTTCAGAGCCTATATAAAACTTGTGCTTACTCCGATCGACTAAATATTGAGCACTGTTGCAGGAGGCCTAATCTAAATTTACCTCTGAAAAAATCAGAGAGATTGGTTTGTTTTTGACTGAGCTAGACAATTGATTGGTTTGCTTTTGACTGAGCTAGACAATTGATTGGTTTGTTTTTGACTGAGCTAGACAATTGATTGGTTTGTTTTTGACTGAGCTAGTCAATTGGTTGGTTTGCTTTTGACTGAACTAGAGAATTGGTTGGTTTGTTTTTGACTGAGCTAGACAAGACTCTTGGAAGTGAGTCCGGGTACTTGAAAAACCCTGTAGTACTTGTAAAATCCAAATTGAATTCAATTAAAATCCAAATCAAAAAGTAAAATCCAAATTTGAACCTAAATCTGACTGGGTTGGGCTAGGTTTGGCAAATTTTTAAATGTCAAATTTGCTTCTTGGAATATTAGAAATTTCTCAGCAAATTTTTATAAACTTTGAAGTAAGCAAAGTCAAATTTAGTATAAAAATCATAGAACCAATGTTGACACTATTTTTGAGGTTGGAAAATTCGTGAACGCCTTAGTGACAACGGATGGGAAAACGAGAGAAAGCACATCGGTTAAAGGTAGATTTTTGAGGCAACCAAGATGCGCTTTGTGCTTAAAGCTTTGCTTGCTTGTGCTTTGTGCAAAAACATCATTTCTGGTGCACTCAATTGAGATAAAAAGCCTAATAAAATCTAAAATCAAAGACTGAAATGTGTATTTTAGGAAATATTACCACAAAAATCGACCAACAGACGCTTGAAGTTGGGGAATTTTTCAGCGAGAATTTGGAGAAGTTAGTCAAATGGTCAAATTCAAAATGGTTAAATGGCTAGCATTTCATTCTCATTTCAGCAAAATAATCGATGTTTTGTGGATGGATAACGAGTACGAAGAATACGATTTACTTCCATTTTTCCTCAAAGATTCCCCACTTTTTCGTGATGGATGGAGGATTTGTCAGGTTTGGATGAAAAGAAAATTCTTACGAAGGATTCTTATGAAGAATTCTTACGAAGAATTCTTACGAACGATTCTTATGAAGGATTCTTACGAACGATTCTTATGAAGGATTCTTACGAAGGATCCTTACGAACGATTCTTACGAAGAATTCTTGCGAAGGATTCTTCTAAAAGAATTCTTACGAAGGATTCTTCTAAAAGAATTCTTACGAAGAATTCTTCTAAAAGAATTCTTACGAAGAATTCTTACGAACGATTCTTACGAAGGATTCTTGCGAAGGATTCTTACGAAGGATTCTTGCGAAGGATTCTTACGAAGGATTCTTGCGAAGGATTCTTACGAAGAAATTTCTTTTCAAGATACAAGTCGAGATTCACGGTCATTTGGAAAAAGTGGAAATCATTCGAAAGTATGCGAAATTTGTGAAAGCGATGTTTGAAGAAGGACGTTATTTGCCCATTCATTCGATGCAAAGTGTCCACATTATGTGAGTCCAAAAAAAATTCAAAACAACTACAAAGGTTTATGTTTTTTGTGGTCTAGTTCATTTTGAGAGAAGACTATTGAAAAAGTTATCAGAACAGAATTTACTGTAGATCTGCCTCCAAAGGAACTCTGGGTATGAACACCATTTGTAGAGTTGACAAAGTTTTGACTATCGTAGCTTATTCTTTATTGACGAAGTTTTGGCTATAATTGGCTATACCGGACGGTGAACATAACTCCCTTAAAATTGTTGTTGTTAAAATAAATTGTAAAAATCGCGTGAAAATCAACAGAGAAGTTATGGAAATCGAGCATTATGCAAATTTTGAGTGTCCTCCTAAACTCCCATAGCACCGAGGTTAGTACCAGAGCCCGTTAGCAAAGCTGTTCGCAAAGCTGCTAGAAAGCTGTCAGCAAAGCTGTTAGCAAAGCTCTACAAATCCAAAACCAAGTCAGAAGCCAGGAAGTCAGGTCTAGCTCTGTCGGAGATGACTTTATTGCAGGCCAAGCCTAGGGGAAGTGTCTAGGCCAGGAATCTGGCAAGAAGACACATGAATATGCCTTTTGGGCAGACTTAATGCTGGTTGAGCAGTTTAATCAAAATAGTTTCCATTATTTGCAATGATTTTCGCTCATCTTACTGGCAATTGGCGGATTCCTCTCACAGAAAATTTTTGGTTTCAAGCCAAAATAGTCTTGGAGCCACAGAGTAGGCTTAGCTGGAATAGCTCCAGAGGATTAAAACATCCCGCTCGTGCGTAGCAGGTCTTTTTGAGTTTCAGATCGATCCAAGACCAAATATCTTATTGATCTGGCTTAGAACTTAAAATTGAACTATTCAAAAACCTCCCAAAAACCTCAAACCAAATATCTCAACTTTTTCTCTCTTTCCAGAGCTTTCTTCTTCAATTTTGGCGATGATGAATGCTTTCAGCGATACATCGAAACGTTTAACTTCTTTAGCGGCGAATTTTATCCAATCAATTACTAGATAAAAGAATTTCCATTGATTTGTACGGGTTTTGAATAAATCACAACGGAAAATCGTCTGATAAGTCAAAAATCTTGTTTACCGAAATTTTCGACTGGATAAGTGATAAGGGTCTTTCAAGGAAATGGCAAAAAAATCGCTGAATTCGAAAATTCTTTTGTTTTATTTATTTATTACTGTGAAAAGCGATTGTCCGCGAAATTCCCTTCAAACAACAATTCCCCAATGCTGGGAATTGTTTGATGACATCGGATGTGGCTGTTAATGCGAATTCACAGGAGAAAAGCTCTTGTAAAGCTGTCAAGTAAAATGTTTGATGCTAGAAAGTCCAAAAAGTGATTCACGCACGGTTAAGTTATCAAAGAAACGGGAAAAAGCTTCTAGACTCGTCAAAATGGAAGCAAACTTGTCAAAAATTTGGGGACTAGGGTTTTTCGATATAGAGAAAAGAAAATTTGGGAAGAGTAAAATGTTTGAAACTATATTTAGCACCTAAAATTGATCTTGCAGGTCTAAATTGAATCGAGTTTTGTATGACTGAGCAAATCAAACGGTTTTTGAAAGCTGAATAGTAAGAGCGCTTAAATCTCAACTTATGAGTCGAAGTATTGGGTTGGTCAATTGAAAACTGCGGGACTTTGAACTAAAATTTATTGAACATAAAACCATAAATTCATTCCAAATAATTTCCATTATTATTGACGACTTCTGCCCATTTCACAGGCAATTTACGGATTCCTCTTTCGTGGTAGGATTTTGGTTTGTGTGGACTGGAGGACTGGAAAAATGGAGGACTGGAGATGTCCCAGTTTGAGCACTTTCTTCAAAAGAAACCCATTTTGGTGTCAATAGAAAAGTTGTAGAGAATCAAAAATTAGGCTTATAGCCAAATTTCCAAAAAGATACACTTAGTAATTTCGCTTAAAATTTTCTGTGAAATGCAAGTTTTGTGAAAATTCGTAAATTTCGCATTTCTTCAAAACTAGTTTTTGAATCGTTCTGAAAATTTGGATATAGGCTTGATTTTTGATTCTCTACAACTTTTCCATTGACACAAAAATGGGTTTCTTTTGAAGAAAGTGCTTAAACTGTCACATATGACAATAGCCGGCAGTTTTCAATTCACCAACCCAATAGAATCAGATTTATCCACCGGATAAGGAAAGAGGCAAAAACTAGCATTTAATATGCAAATTTGTTAAGTGATCACAATTCATTTTGAAACATTAGCAAAAGTTTTGCAAATTAGAGAAATATCCAAGTAATAGAAGAAAAATGCTGTTGAACTATTTAAGATGAACACCGTGCACTTCAAGATCGCCTTCAATGTTGACTCGATTGATTGATCGTGATGGTAATCGATGGGCGTAATTGCAAACAAATACATCATTCACGTAGATCTGAACAGCGATGATAATGGGTCATTTGTGGAGTGGTCCGTTTTTAAAATAGATGGGACGACTGTCACCAAAAAGCTATTCAATCTAAGCTAAACTGTGGATAACCTACCGTAGTCTAACCTGGTTTTTCGAAAATATAAACAGGTTTATTGGCTTTTTGTTTGTTTTGCCCTCTTTGCATCTATTCTTCTTAGGATTTTCGTGTGAAAGTTTTCATTAGATTTCTCTCTAAAAATCTGTCATAAATTGTATTCTGCCAAAAGAGCTTGGTTCTGTTCTGAAAGCTTAGAAATTACAGAGAAAGTACACTTGAGTCGCGACGATATAAGAGTTCGAGTTTGGATAGACGTTTTTGTCTGCTTGTAATTGCTTGGCCTTTTAGTCAAATTGTCAGGAAATGTATTCATACGAAAGAAAAGCCCATTAACACACTTGCGACGACGGTATCTTGGGCATGGGCTGTCCAATTGAAATATTCTTATAATCATTGGATGCGCCAAGTCTTTCTCTGTCGATTGGTACAAAAACAATTGAAATTGGACAACCCAAAGCCAAAATATTTGAGTTCAAAGTTAGATCGCCAGTGGCAAAAGGGGCAGGGCGCGTATAAAAGGCGGGACATGCTCCGCCCCCTTTGCCATTGGCAATCTAACTTTAAGCTCAAATATCTTGATGTTGGGCTGTTCAATTTAAATATTCTTGGTATGAGTTGAGACGTATAAAAGGTGAGACATGCTCCGCCCCTTTTGGGTACTCGTCTTTGTGCATTGGAAAATCCACAAAAGCAACGACTTCCGAGAATTTCCCAGAAGTCATTTTACAGAGAAATAATCAAGCTTTTTAATAGTTCAAATAGAAATTTTGTTGGTGGTGGCATTATTTTTAAAAGACGTTTTGAAAGAAATTGTAAAGACTCATAAAGTCGAGGTCACAAGTACTTCAGTCAGATTCCGTATCTTTTACTCTTCTAAAGCTAAAGCTTGATTTCATTTGGAACTTCTTTGTTTTTAAATTAGTGTAAATTCCAGACTAAATCCTTCCCTCTCTTCCTCTCTTCCTCTCTTCAATCTCTGGAATCTTTCCCGTAGCTGTCACAATGAGCATAAAGAGAAAGGGTGGGGTTTTGAACGGGAGAAATCGTCGATGAGTGAGTAAAAAGAAAGAAATTAAGAGAAAAGATCGAGATGGGGATTCCGATTTGCGATTCTTTTCCCTTCATACACATCTTTCCCGTTCTCATCAAACTTTCCGGATCGGCTTCGATAAGGAAAAGGAATGAGCAAAAGAAATGAGCAAAAGAAATGAGCACCGAATCGAGATCGAATTTTCCCTTTCCTTCTTTCAATATTTCCCACATTTCACAGACATCTAACTCTTTCAATCTTCTTGTGATTTTCCGTTTTGAGTTTAGCCCTTTAACACTTTATTTTGGGAACTCTGTTTTGAGTCCAACTTTATCAAGAAATTCGAATCTGAGTGTCTGTTTGTATCTGTTTGAATCGAACTCCAAGATCCAAGATCGAACTCCAAGATCCAAGATCGAACTCCAAGGTTCAAGATCGAACTCCAGGGCCCAGGATCGAACTCCAAGATCCAAGATCGAACTCCAAGATCCAAGATCGAACTCCAAGGTTCAAGATCGAACTCCAAGGCCCAAGATCGAACTCCAAGATCCAAGATGGAACTCCAAGGTCCAAGATCGAACTCCAAGATCCAAGATCGAACTCCAAGGTCCAAGATCGAACTTCAAGGTTCAAGATCGAACTCCAAGGCCCAAGATCGAACTCCAAGATCCAAGAGCGAACTCCAACCGAACTACCTAATGTTTTGAAGCTTTCAAAGTTCCCAATTTCACCGTATTCCAAGTAGGAAACTTATTTTACAATCTTGTAAACTGTCTCATTCTCATTTAAACAAGCGTGCAAACTTTTGACACTCATTGATTTGCTTTGGTGCTCGACCGTAACCCAGCTACCGTAACTTTAGATCTAAATATTTATGGTTTGATTTTTATAGATGCTTGTGCTTTCTATCTCTAAATTAATTGGTGTTACAGTGATCAAAACTACGAGAGAAACTTGAATTAACTGTAAAATCAACTAACTGGGTTAACTGGTAATCAATTAAATCAACTAGGGTTACAGTAGCCTTTAAACTAGGGTTACGGTAGTCTTTAAATTCTCTACTCGAGTCGACAAATGCAAGTACATCACAGTGTATCGAAAGATTGTACCTTTTCGATAAAACTATTTATTTAGTATCCCAAGTATCCTAAAGATACCCCCCAAATGAATGAGTGACGGACGAGTGAACGGGAAGTGATCGAAAACGATGGAATGAACGATTTCCTTTTGTAGTTCTCCACAAAAGAAAGGAGATCACCAAATTTGGGTCGAGAGAAAGCTTTCCTCCATCGCCCATCAATTAGGTGAAAGCCGACTATGCACTTTCGATTGGATTTCACATTCAGTCACACATAGTTTCTTTTTGGATTTTTTTTATGCTAACAAACTAGAGTTCTTCTAAGTGTTCTTTGTGCTTTTATGCTAACTAATCTCAGCTTAGTATCTCAGTCCCATAGTAGGCTATGCTTGTCCCATAGTAGGCTTGT